CACAGGGAGGCATGCCCTGCACCCTGGGGACTGAGGTCACTTGCACTCAATCTCCCTGGTACCCAGAAATTGCTGGAGAGCTGGAGAGTGATCTGCTTCTCCCTTTAAATGTATTATTGTTTTGTTTCTAGAATTGATAGTTATTTTTTAAGTATAGTGATGTGTAGACATACTTTTTCTGGTTTTATTGACCTTTTATCAATAAAGAATGTCAATTTGACCTCTTGCAAGCTATTCACACAGTTTGTTTGGCCTGTGACATATGGCTGGATCTTTGTGGTTCCCAGGACGCTTTTATTCAATGTTCAAAAGTAATGGCACTTATTTAACTCTCTCGAAGTATGGCTTCAAGGACACTGTAAGCTTTGCTCCAGACCACGCCCCTCAGCTGCTGATATCACAATCATGGGTGTGCCCACCCTGTTTCCAGTGGCAATGATTTCTAAGTTCTGATACCTTATTAGCTTAGATCATATAGAAGACAAAATTGTACTCTCTTTGTAGAGAGAAAGCCCCAATAAAAGAGCCAAAAGTATAAGGGCAAATTCTCCCACTCTTTAGTGTTCAGCTCCTCCCTGCCTGAAGCCTGACACAGGGTTTGTGATGCCTTGTAATTAGGACCCAACTGGAAAGCCCCTGGTGCCTTCTTACCCCCAATGGTCATTTTCAGAACAAGAAGCCAATGGTGTTATAAAGCATAGTGATCTGTTCTCTTAACTATTCAAATAAGAGGCCACACAAATGGCCCAAAGACAAGGCCAGATAATATTTCTTAATGGCTATAAAAACGGATCCCATTCACTGTCATGAAAGGTACTCTCTCAGAATTCACCCGCTGTGTGTCTGCCTAAAGTACCTATTATTCATTCAAGCTTACATATCTATATGGTTAGGCAAATATTTTACCCTGATCCTTGGGCTCCTTTATCTCAATGTGACAACTTAATAGCTGGCATGTCCAGATCTTACATAGGGACTTTCTACCTTGTCTTTGAGATCCTGCCTGATGTCTGTCAGTAGAACTGTAATGATTCCCCCTCGATCAGGTCACATCTAATGGTAACCAGCCTTAGTTTGTGGGGTATAGTGTTGGAACATGTATCCCTCTGAATCCATATTGAATCTTCAGTACTGAAGCAATGATAATATTGAGAGTTGGGACCTTTGGAGATACCAACCCAGGACGTTCATCACCATGACAGACTATCGAGGTCAGGTGGTGGTGGCTCATACCTTTAATCCCAGCACTTGGGAGGCAAAGGCAGGAGGATCTATGTGAATTCCAGGACATCACTGTCTACAAAGTGAGTTCCAGGACAGCCAGGGCTACACAGAGAAACCCTGACTCAAAAAACAAAAAACAAAACAAACAAAAAGGTCTGAAAGTTTACTCTTCCCAGGACCATGTGAGAACACACAGCAAACTTCCATGCCATGTTAGAACAAGAAAACATGCCATGTTAGAACAAGAAAACAGCCCTCATATATCCTGCAATACACCTCATGTACCCTGAATATCCGATTCTTACCTTAGCAACCTGCAGAAGCACAGGAAATCAATTTCTAGAAGTTGCTTATAAATCCTGGTCCAAGGCAGTTTGTTGCAGAACGGGGTGAGACTGTGACATCTGAGGGCTCTCCTTCTCCCACACCCATGGGAAGAATGCTTTTGCTGTCTGTAGGATTCTAGGCTGGTGTTTTTCTTTCTTGACCATCTTGACCATCTGCCTATTGTCTTCTGGGATTCTAGGTTTCAGATGAGAAATCTGAGAGTCTCTTGAGGGAAGTTGTGATCAAACTCTTCCTCTCAGTTAGTAACTTGTCCTGACGTGTCTTGGGAAACAGAACATTTTGTTATAGTAGCACAAGCCGGTAAAGGGCTAACGTACTTTTTTTTTTTTTTTTTTTTTTTTGTTTTTTCAGACAGGGTTTCTCTGGGCAGCTTTGGAGCCTATTCTGGCACTCGCTCTGGAGACCAGGCTGGCCTTGAACTCACAGAGATCTGCCTGCCTCTGCCTCCTGAGTGCTGGGATTAAAGGCATGCGCCACCAATGACCAGTGCTACCATACTTTCGACACCAATCCAACTTTAAAGAGAAGAATGAATACTCTGAATGTAGGTATGTTGAGCTCTGTTACAGTCAAATGTTACCACAACATTTTTGGTCCCACTTACAAAGGTCGTTGGAACATCCTCTTGGTTCACCTTCTTAATGATAGATATCAGAGTCTATACCCAGTAAAGCATAGAGCTTTGGGGGCCTATATTATCATTGTTGCCATTTCTATTATTACTATTAAAGTGGAGTGGGTCCTTGCTGTGGTTTATATGTGAAATGTCCCCTGTAGTCTCTTGTGTTTGAACTTGCAGTCTCCAGCAAGTGATAATATCCTGGGAAGCTGGTGTCTAGCTTTAGGAGGTGAAGTCTAGCTCTAGGAAGCAGTTTGTTGGCTTGGTGTTAGTGGTGGGGTGACCACCAGTACAGTGTAAGCAGCCACATGCTAACACCAACCACTCCTGCCACCATGCTTTCCCTGCTCCCTCAACGTGTGAGCCAAAATCAACCCTTCCTTATGTTGCTTCCTGTTGGGCACTTGGTAGCAGTAACTGCAGAGTAGCTAATACAGTCCTTTTGGACAGGAGTATGCCCATCCCTCATTGGTCCATGTCTTGCTCTGACCTCATAAGGTGGCACTGTGAGGAATGACTGACACCTGAGCATATAGCGTACTGCCTAGGGCTGGGTTTTGTCCTTCTGGTGCAGAGAGCTGGTTGGTGGTGATCTGTGGGTTGGGACTTGGATGTTGGCAAAAGTTTTGGACTCGGATATTGGTGAAATTTTCCACTCGGACGCTGGTGAAGTTTTGGACTTGGATGCTGGTGACCTGTTGTACTTGACAGAGTAAGTCTTTCACTTTGCGGGTTGTGTTTTGGAGGTATGGGTTTTAGTTTTTCATTTTACTTTTTGTAATTTATATTTCTGGTTTTAGATTTTAATTTTTACATATTTTAATTTTTCTTTATTAAATATCCTCCATTTTTCTTTTTTAAACAAATATTCTTTATCTTTTTTTACTTTTTAAAGTTTCTGTTAGTAAATATTGAACATAAAAAATAAAAAATTCGCTGTGACATTTCTGTGTATGTACATAATATACTCTGATAATATTCACCTACTGTAATACATATTCCCCCCTCCTCTTCACATCTCTACTCATTCCCTTTACTGTCAGGTTCCCTCCTTGACCTGTGATTCAGGATTTAAAAGCAAATGTCTTTGTGGGACTGGCTTGTTATACACAGCACCATGATTTCCAGGTCCATGTATTCTCCCCCTGAAGAATGACAATTTCACTCTTCCCAGCTGAGTATGAGATTCTGGCCCTTCTGTTTCTGCACAACCTTGTTAATCAATTGGCATAGGTTGCTTGCAGCCTTTGCATGACTGGGTGAACCCATCTTGATCATGAAGTATAGTTCCTCTTAGTGCTGTTGAATTTTGTGTGAAGTACTAAGTACTCTTACAAAGGATTGTTAGGTCTATGTTCACCAAAGATGTTGATTATACCTTTCTCTCATTGCTGTATCCCCCTGATTTTGGTACCTGAGTAATGCAGACTCATAGAATGAGTCTAAAAGCATCCTTCCCTGTTTTACTTCACAGAATAGTCTGAGGAGCATTGGTGTCAGTTCTTCTTTAAAGTTCTGATAGAAATCATCTATGAGTTTGTCTGGTCCTGGGCTCTTTTCTTTTCTTTCCTTCTTTCTTTTGTTCTTTCTTTCTTTTTCTTTTTCTTTTTCTTTTTCTTTTTCTTTTTTCTTTTTTTTTTTTTTTGAGACAGGGTTTCTCTGTGGCTTCGGAGCCTGTCCTGGAATTAGCTCTTGTAGACCAGGATGGTCTTGAATTCACAGAGATCCACCTGCCTCTGCCTCCCAAGTGCTGGGAATAAAGGTGAGCACCACTACTGCCCACCACCCGGTGGTCCTGGGCTTTTTTGTTTGTTTGCCAAGAGTTTATTTTAAATTACTATTTCAATTTTGTTGCCATTTTTCTGTTTTAAATTAATTCTTTAAGAATTTCATACAATGAATTTCAGTCATATTTAATTTATCCCTTACTCCAACCCCTCCCAGATTTCCACACTCCTTTCCTACCATCCATATTTGTGTCTTTTTGTTTTGTTTTGTTTTTGGCCATCAAGTGCAGTTTCTGTTGTCCTTATATTCTTGGATATTTGGCCTTCCACTGGGGAGTGGTCTATCCAACCTACCAACAACCACACCCTTAAAGCGTGTTCTCCCTCTTCTGGAAACTATCAATTGTCAGTAGCTCAGCAGGAGTGTGACTTCTTGTCCTGCATCCCTTCTTTCTGCTGAGATTTTTGTCTGGAGTGAGCTTAAGCAGGTCATAATACTATGAGTGCAGACAGGAAACTGCCCTGCTTTGTCCAGAAAACCCTTTCCCTGTTGTCACCCACTGCCTCTGTGTTTTAGTAGCTGATGTATGTCTAGAAGTTTATCTATTCTAGATTTTCCTAATTCACTGGAACATTTTAAAAACACTCCCTAGTGATTGTATGGATGATCAGGTATATCCCTGATAATACTACCTTATTTTGTCTCTAATATTATTCACTTGTATCTTAAATTTTTCTATTAGTTATTTTGGTTAACATTGTATCTGTTATATTTAATACATTATATCTCATGTGTTATATAATCAAGTCTTAAAATAATCAAGTCTTTGTTATACTGGTCTTTGTATTAGTTTAGTTTTTATTTCATCAATTTCTGCTCTGAACTTGAATCTTCTGTTTCTTTTGGCTTGTTTTTGTTTTCCTGTGACCTTGACATGCTCCATTAAGTTATTTAGGACATCTATGTTTTTTTTTAATTGCATGAATTTATACCTACAAATGTTTCTCCTAGACCTGCTTTTAATTAATTTTTATCTTGTGCCCATAGTTGGTGTGTATACTGAGCATTTATATTAACAAAGATGAAGAGGTGTGAAGAGGCGCAAGACAGAAAGTCCAAACCCTTTGATGAAGAGGCTTTAACAGAACATTATAAAATCCTAACGACCCTTGGCCAAGGAGGATTTGGGGAAGTAAAATTGGCTAGCCATCTACTCACACAGACAAGGGTAGCAGTAAAAATTCTTCCAAAAGGCAAAAAGAACACCTTCATCAAATCAGAAATTGAGATAATGAAAGCTCTAGATCACCCCAATATTATTAAACTTCTGCATATAATCGATACCACAAATAATATTTACATGGTCATGGAACATGCCCCAGGGGGAGAGCTAATGGGCAGGATTGTGGAGCTTGGTTATCTACCAGAGGAGGAGTCCCGTAGGCTGTTTAAACAGATGGTATGTGCCCTCCAGTATTGCCACAGGAAAGGGATTGCCCACAGGGATCTGAAGCCTGAAAATATTTTAGTGGACGACAAAGGAAATATAAAGCTTAGTGATTTCGGGTTGGGCGCCAAGCTGATCATGGGACAGAAGCTGGCCGCTTTCTGTGGGACCCTCCCTTATTGCGCCCCGGAACTCTTTGAAAGTAAAGGCTACGATGGCCTTGCAATTGACGTCTGGAGCTTGGGAGTTGTACTCTACTTTATGTCCACAGGGTGCCTCCCTTTCCAGGGACATACCTATGAAGGACTAAAGCAGAAGATCTTGTCAGGAAAGTACTCAGTTAAATTCAAGCTGTCACCAGAGCTTTGGGACTTGATTGCTAAGTTGTTGACTATAAACCCTGGACAAAGACCAAGAATAGGTGACATTTTGAGCTTTCAATGGCTGAATCAAAGCAATGAATTTTTTCTCAGTTCCTTTAGAGAGAAGACCAATAGCCACCCAGACCCCACGGTAATGGTCATCATGGGTGTGATGGGATACAAGCAACGAGAGATAAAGGAAGCTTTACGGGAGAAAAAGTTTGATCAGGTGATGGCTACCTATTTGATTCTTAGGCAACAGTCACCCTGGGGGGACAACTTTATAAAAAAACTGAAGCCTAGCAAGTTGGATCGAACCTTGAACTCTACAGAGCCTCCCACAATGCCAAAAGTGACTACAATAAAGAGGGGCTCTAGTGCCCCTACTCTTCCCACCTCCATTTTGCCCACTGTACCTGAGAGTCCTGAGAATGACAAAACACATAGAATGAGATACAGCATACCTCCCACCCTGAACTATCCAAACAAGAAGACAGCCCCTGTTCATGGAATCTGTCCTCAACATGTCCAGGAGGCTCACTTCATGAGCAGCACATGGGGGGACACAGAGAGCAATAACACCTCAGATGAAATATGTACCCGAATGTCTTTAGAATCTACTCCACTGGACTCTTATTCTTCCCTTGATGTATCCAAAGCTGGCTCTAACAATTCAAAGTACAAGGTACCCTTGCCGGATGGTTTATCTCATCATGCCTCTGTGGCAGGAGCCCAGTGTAAGTACACCAACATACCAAGTGAAAATATCAGCTCATCTCTCCCACAAGCCCCACCTCAGGAAGACTTCAGGGGACAGCCTCACAGTGTGACTACAGCTGGTTTAAAGAACAGGACCTCACAGGATGGTTTATCTCATCACACCGCTGTGGCAGAAGCCCAGTGTAAGTACACCAACATACCAAGTGAAAATATCAGCTCATCTCCCCCACAACCCCCACAATTCAAAGTACAAGGTACCCTTGCCGGATGGTTTATCTCATCATGCCTCTGTGGCAGGAGCCCAGTGTAAGTACACCAACATACCAAGTGAAAATATCAGCTCATCTCTCCCACAAGCCCCACCTCAGGAGGACTTCAGGGGACGGCCCCACAGTGTGACTACAGCTGGTTCAAAGAACAACATGACTTCATGTGATGTTTTATCTCATCACACCTCTGTGGCAGGAGCCCAGTGTAAGTACACCAACATACCAAGTGAAAATATCAGCTCATCTCTCCCACAAGCCCCACCTCAGGAGGACTTCAGGGGACGGCCCCACAGTGTGACTACAGCTGGTTCAAAGAACAACATGACTTCATGTGATGTTTTTTCTCCTCCCGCCTCTGTGGCAGGAGCCCAGTGTAAGTACACCAACATACCAAGTGAAAATATCAGCTCATCTCTCCCACAAGCCCCACCTCAGGAGGACTTCAGGGGACGGCCCCACAGTGTGACTACAGCTGGTTTAAAGAACAACACGACCTCATGTGACGTTTTGTCTCATCACACCTCAGTGAAGGAAGTCCCGTTTAAGGACACTAACAAATCAAATACAAATATCAGCTCATCTCTCCCACAACCCTCAACTCAGGAGGACCTCAGGGGACGGCCCCACAGTGTGACTACAGCTGGTTCAAAGAACAACCTGACCTCACAGGATGGTTTACCTCCAGTCTCCAGCAAGGAGGCCCAGGGTGATGGTTCCACTGTACAAGAAAAAGACCTCAGCCCATCCTCCCCAGAAACACCCCAGGGACAGCTCGGTGGCCGGTGCCAAACTGCACCCAGAGCCCCCTTTAAAAAGCGAGTTTGGAAGAGCCTACAGAGTAGGATTATAAAAGGCCTGAGAAGTTTATGTTGCTGCCTGCCAACTGAAACTAGGGAGCGTCTAGCCAACAATAAAATCCTGGCTGTGAGCTAAAAGGGCTGTGAGGCCAGCTGTGGTAACAAGTAAGTGGAGAGGCTACAATGCACTTTTGCATCCCCCCCCCCCCCCCCCGTGTCCTTTTCTTTAAAGAAAAAAATATTTATTTACCGTGTGTGGAAATTAACTTGGAGGAGTCAGTTCTGTCTTTATACCATGTGGGTCCTGGGGAATGGAATGAGGTTCCCAGGCTTGGTGTCAAGTACCTTTATTCACTAAGCCATTTCCTGGACTAAATGATAAGCTTTTAAATAAACAGATTATAAACACACCCATTTTTTAAAAGGGTTAGTGATAATATATTATCACACCAGAAAGCAAATTCCAGGGTATCTTTCCTAAGAAACTTGACCTAGATGTAGGCAGACAGCAGAGGATAGTAGCCCGAGGCTGGGCAAGCACGCAGGAGGAGGGCTGGGGAAGAGAGCCATGGGGAAGGGCCTCAGGAGGAAGCAGACAGAGGACCCATCCCAGCAGAGGGCCAGCACAGCCAAGCAGAAAACCTGCATATTTCACCTAAGAGGCCCCTTTCTTGTGTCTGTTTCAAGCACTGTTGGATGCACTGTGTTCCCTGGAGGCTGACACCAGAGAGTGGGGAGCAGTGTGCTGAGGTTGCAGAGAGGCACAGGAGAGAACCAGGTAGGAAGTTCAGACAGCTGTGTTCACAGCTGAAACTAGGGGCAAAGCATTCCTGTGTCTGAGGATGAAGACTGGGGAGGAGAGGGCATGTCACCCCTTTTTCAGATCACCTGGGACTGTGGTGATATATTGTTTATAATTTAATAAAGCTTGCCTGGGGATCAGAAAATCAAAGCTAGCCAGAGCCATAGAAACTGGGCAGTGTTGATACACAGCTTTAATTCCAGGACTCAGGAGACAGAGGCAGATGGATCTCTGTGAGTTCAAAGCCATCCATGGCTACATTAGAGTAAATCAGTCCAAAAGAGAAAAAAGAAAATGAAACAGATCTCATGCCTTTAATCCCAGCACTAGAGAGGTATATAAGATAGGAGCAGGGTATTCAGTAGTCAGTCTCAGGGTATTTAGTCTCCAGCCACTGAGAGATCAGGATCTCCCCAGCCTTGTTAGAGGTAAGAGCTCTCTGGTGGCTTGGCTGCTTTGCTTCTCTGATCTTCGGCTTGAACCCCCATATCTTTCTCTGGATTTTTATTATTTATGCTATGTGGGACCCTGAGGACCAAGAAAGGATTCTGGGAGGCAGGTCTGAGCTCATGATCCTCCTCACTCTCCATCTTGTGCCCATCGGGGAAGGTAGAGTGTATGGAAACAGGTAAGTCTGCTGGCTATGGTGTGGCTCTCAGCACCAGCCTGGCTTACTAGGTAGCTTGCTTCTTACCCCCACCAAGATCCAGAAACCTTCACAACTCACCCTATTATTGGTGCTTGTTGCTTTGCAATCTTCTGTACTGTGTATCCGAACATACACACACACACACACACACACACACACACACACACACACACCCCACACTCCACACTTCTCCCAAAGTACCTTGTGCATAGTTGACACTAGTGAAGTTTGCTTGTACTGGAGAGGACTCCCACTCCAGACAAGGTAATTTCATACTTTATGTGATTTCCCCTCCTGGAAATGCCTCAGAATTCCTCTAAGTCAGCTTGTTCCTGTCTCCACCCCTACCCCAAACACTTACCACCCTGCTCTACTGCTTCACAGGAGCCATGCGTGTGAAGGCAGCACATGCCATGGTGTGCACTTTGCCCCAGGGCATCCAGGTGTGTGCAAGGTAAGGCCCTCCAGCTGTGCTTTGAGTGAAATCAAGGTGAAGTCTGGCTTGTTTGACAGTTGAATTCAGAGATGGAGCTGGTCCCAAGCATGACCATGGATTAGAACGGGTTGATGGAAAAACAATGGATAACCCTGGTCTGGCTGTAAGGGTGTTCCTTTGGGTGGATTCATGGTCCCTTGCCACATTCCCACCTCCTAAGAAAACTCAGAGACATTTAAAGGGATTTAAGGGTTCGGATTCATACCTCTCCTTAGACCACTCTCTAGTATACCCCCAAGATACTATTTTCAACAGTATCTCATACAAAGATCCAAGCTGTTTTCTTTCTGACACCCTGTAGTGACATTCCTGTTGCTGAAGCTTTGTGTCCCCGGGCAGCCGGCTGGGAAAGACTGGTGCCTTTGCTGCCTGAATGACCCTATGCTGGGGCTACCAAAGAGACTCCTGGGACTACACTCATCAAGGGACAAAGCCTGAGTCCAGCTTCACCTGCGTGGTGCTTAGGACAGGAGATGCCACTCAAGCCCTAACACATTGGACAGAAGGACACAAAGGTGATGCTCCCTTGCTCAGGCCATGGGGAAGGCATGATTGGTTACAGGGTAATTAATGGGCAACTGAACACTTGGTAATTTTACCAAAATGCCTTGTTTTCATGTCTCCTAGATGTAAGAGGCTCCTTCTGATTGACAGAGAAATTGGACCAGAGCCAGAGACTTACAAGTAGATGGACTGAGAGGAACAAGGCAAAAATGTCTGCTGATCCAGGTAGCACCCGGACCCTTTTACTAAACCCTTGTTGTGTGGGAACAGTGTCTGAGGCAGCTTGAGGCTTTCCTCACTGAGGGATGCCTCTCTGTCCAGGCAGGAGCCATGTGAGGGTGAGATGCTGCTCAAACCCCCTCCATCTACTGTATGGAGTCAGCTGTTGTTACTGTTCCCTTCATCACCTAGGCAGGGACATCACTTCCCCATCAGAAAGACTGACAGCTGCAAGGGACAGACATACAGAACACTGACAGTCACTTTGGGGGCTTTTTGTACTGGGTCCCCTTTTAGAGAGTGACATCAACCTAGAGAACTGAACCATGAAGGCATCCCCTAGGAAAAGGTCCTAGATACTGAAAGCTGGGTGACTGTTGGTTTTATGATTGTGTATACAGGTGAAGATCAGTCACCGAGGATATGCTCAGAGAGCTGGGCATAAAATTGCTGCAGAAGTGTTACCAAGAACGACACAGGCAACTGGGAAAATAGATTTGGCACAAATAAATCTGAATACAGAGACTATTTTCTTATTACAATAAACTACTTTGCATATTTGAACCACGTGCTGTGGTGTCCTGATTTGTATCTATATACATATCCTGACCCTGGAATTATTCAGCATGTCTATCTTCTGAATGCATCATTTCTCCCTGTGGTGAGAGCAGCACTAATTCTCCATGATACTCTTTGATCTTCATCCTGGGCGTTAGACCTCTGCTCTCTTCCTCCTACATACCGCCTAGTCTACATCCTAGAAACATCTCTCCATCCTGCTATTATCACTAATGGAGACTTTTGTTTTAGTTTCCACATATGCAGTGTTTCTCTCTCTTTTAAGGGTTATTTTACTTAGCATAATGTCCTTCAAGTTGACCACAAGTCATAGTATCCCTCTCCCCTTTGTTTTTCTGAGGCAGGGTCTTGCTGTGTAGCCTGGGTTGACCAACAACTCCTGATACTCATGCTCAGAATCCTGGCTACTGTGATGACAGGTTTGTACCCCTGACATATAAGGCCTAATGATATTCTTCTTCAATAGACATGTGGATGTAGGGTAGACACATTGTTAAAGGATTAGGTTTTGACTCATTTGGAAACACTCCCAATTTTCTGTGTAGTTGCCCTATCTCAGTGTCATCAAAAGAAAAAGCCTTACAATTGGGTGTGGAAATGCTCACAAGGGCCCTGACTATCAAAAACCTTCAAGGTCCTTGTCTCAAAGGCCTTTGTTCAGGATTGGAAAAGAGACGCTGCAATAAGCACAGTGTCTAAGTCTGAGGGCTGTAGAAAAAGAATCTCCCCACACCACATTCTATTCATGTGCTCTTTGTTCTATTTCTACTCTGGTAATCCTATCCTGCTTCTAACTTCTCCATGCTTCTTACTCTTTTTCTTCATTTTCCCCCACACTTGTTTTTCCTACATTCTTCTACATTTCTGATAATTTCTGCCAGCTCCTCCCTCCAGCTGTTCCCTCATTAGTCTCCTCTTCCCAAATTTCTCTGTCCCCAGAGGTTTGAGGCAAAAGATAAGAATTAGAGTTAGATTTTTATTGGTTAGAAGCATATTCCTAAGCTAAGCAACAAAGGCAGAGCCATTGCCATGATAACATAAGGCCATAGGAGCAAAACTGTGACCAGACAGGAAGGGTACAGAGCCCAATGACAACTTTAAGACACAGATCTATTGTTAGTAGACTGGCAAGTGAAGAATAGGCATGCTTTAAGGTTAATGTGAGGTTAGCTTGGGACAGCTCTTGGGACAACAGAGAGAATCCAGGACACTCCTGTTCTCTATCTCTCTGAGAGCTATAGCTCTGCAACTTTAGACAGGCCATAATTCTTGTCATTGGGCATCTGCAAATGTCTCAATTGAGGTATCTTTGCCTGGACACTAACACTGTCCAACTGACTGCCAAGGAAGATAACTGCAAGGGGGTCAGACTTTTTGTGTTGAGAGAGTAAAGGTATCGATTGATACTACTTTCTTGCCCGAACCGTTGCTGGGGGAGTCATCCAATATACCAATGCATAGGGGAAGTTGTGTCCAGTAAATGATTACTACACCGCTGGAGTTTTGGGGATGAATCCCACCATAAAAAGGGAGTGCTATGGCTGCCCAGGGAATTTACAGTAAGGACAGTGACTATTCATAAAGCAAATACTCCCACTGCCCTGCATGTGAGCCTCCTACATCAGAAAATGATCCTGGTGGGTTAGCTTCATGATTCTGTCAGCTGCATTCTCACTGTAGAATTCTGTGGTCTGTAGCACCTGACTCCTGATCACAAGGCACTGCCTTTGTGTAGCCTGTAACCTGGCTCCCTCTCAACTTGTATTTCTGCCCTGCCATTCATATCCTGTTGAGGGGGCAAAGTTTTCTTCAGGGGGCAAGGGATGCTCTGTGCTATCATGTGAACTAGAGATGAAGAGGCTTCCAAGATGACAGGAGCCCTGGCCC